CTTTCCTCTTGTCCCACTATCATGCTCAGCCTTTATTTGGGTTTCAGTAATTCCTCTAAGTTACGTTGCCCTTGAGCAAGCCCTACCAGGCCTCCTACAACCTCCTCTCCATTGGTTTTAGATCACTTGTTGTTCCATTGTCCCTGGGTTTGTTAACATCCACTTCTTTTCCCCCACCTCTCCCTCACCTGTGTCCCCCCAGAACTGTCAGTATGTTGTTTTCTCCTCTGGATTGTTTATCCCACCTATCTTATTTAGGTAGACATGCAGAGGCAATAATATGCACAAAACAAGACAGAAAAAAACAAAGCAACAAAAGAAAACAAAACAACAATAAAAAACACAACTATTAAAAAAAAAAAGCCTATAAATAGTTCCAGGTCTGTTTGTTGACCTTTAGGGGTGTTTTCTGGTTGAGTCTGATGGGGTGCCCCACCCTGGCCCCAAAGTCTATTTTTGGCATTCCCTTGGGACCTCCATGCTCTGCTCCCCTTGCTGTTCTGTTGCACGCCTTTAGTGTTTTGTCTTGGTGTGGTGGGGTCAGATCAGGCACAATTCCCGCACAGGGGCCAATGGTGTCTCCAGTGTTGTCCCCTGTAGTGCTATGGGTCAGTGAGGGACGTGGTGTCTCTGGTAGGGCCGGCCCTAAGGTCCTCTCCATGCATTGACTGCTCTGAGCAGGAATATCATCCTCAGGGCTTGGTCAGAAAGTTTCAAAGGCTGGTTCTCCAGAACCACCTTTCTAGGTGCCTCAGGGTGGGCCCAAACCACCAACTTTTAAGGGCAGCCATGGAGAGCAATCATCCTTTGCACCATCCAGGGTCTCCACAGTGTAAAGAGGGTTGGTTAGCTAGGGGAAGGGAGCCTGGTGGTAGGTACAGCGGTTAAGTGCTGGGCTGCTACGCAGGAAGTGGCTGGTTGGAACCCCCCAGCGAGTCTGTGGGAGAAAGCAATGTTGGTCCACTGCTGTAGAGATGACAGCCTGGAAGCCCCATGGGGCAGTCCTGTTCTGTCCTACAGGATGGCTGTGCATTGCATATAATAACACCAACAGCAAGAGCCCTTCCCTTTTTCATGAGTCCAGCTCTCTGTCTCATGTCACCAAGGAGAGAGCTGTGCTGTCATCATCCACTTCATGGGATGTCGCCATCTCCAGGATGTCAGGACAGTGTCACTCGGTCTGAAAATATTTGTGAGAAATACCTCAGCACGTAGGATCAGTGCTTCTTTGGAAAGTTTTACATGGAAAGTGTGGGAAAGGGAAGGAAACCCACTATGGTTCTTATATGCTGTTCGATCACATTATACAAACCCAAACCAAAGAAGCATAGTGGTTATATGTTGGGCTGCTAACCGCAAGGTCGGCAGTTCGAAACCACCAGCTGCTCTATGGGTGAAAGATGAGACTGTCTTCTCCTTCCCATACAGAGTCACAGCTTTGGAAACCCCCAGGTGCAGTTCTGCTCTGGCCTATAGGGTTGCTATGAAATCACCCTATAGATTGTATAATTTCTGGAAAAAAAGGAGGGCGTCTACCACGTGACACTTGAAGGGAAGCCCTGCCGAGGGCAGGGGCTTTGCTTCATTCACTGATGTGGCCAGGCTTCGGCCCAGAGCAGAGCTGGCACAGAGTAGACATCCAATTATGAGCTGCCCAAATGAACCTGATGATACACGTTCACTACACTGCATACAAAAGGATCCCTGGTGGCACAGCGAACTGCACTGGACTGCTAACTGAAAGGTCAGGGATTTGAAGCCCCTAGCTGCACCATGGGAGGGGGCTGCGGCAGTGTGCTGTAGTGCTTTACAGCCTAGGAAACCCTGGGGGGCAGTTCTACTTTTCTTCTTATAAGGTCACTCTGAGTTAAAATCGACTCGGAAGCAGTGTTTTTCCATTTATTAAATGTCTGGATATTCTACCTCACCACACTGACCATTAGAATGTGGCCGTTGCTGTTCACTCCGTCCAGTTTGTCCTGAGTCATGGTGACCCCATGCACAATGGAACAAGTCACTGCCTGGCCCTGCCCCTTGTCCACAATGTGTTGTGGGTTGGACCATTGTGACCCATAGGATTTTGATGGTTGGTTTTCAGAACTAGATCATCAGGTCTCTCTTCCTGGTCTGTTTCCGTCTAGATGCTCTGTTGTGGGAAACTAACACGGAAGGAGATATGATGGGGACTATAGTCCCTAACTTATAACAGAAGGAATCTGGAAAGCTGGTATTCCACAGTAGGAAAACCTCCGCTTTGTGAAGTTAGAGGTAAAGTCCAAGTACATTGTCCTGCTTTAAAAATCATTTCCCCAGATTCTCCCCTTAACAGCTGTGCTGCCTTAAAGTGAGCACGTGGTTGATTACCGGTAATCTCCCTATGGAAGCAGACATGATCCTTTTGCTCTCTCTTCCCACCCAAGCCCCCTTGTACCTTCCCCTGATGCAGGTATTAGGTTTCCTCACCTGTGAGTTCAGGGACCTTAATGTAGATACTACCCACCTTTTGTGATGCATGTAACTACTGAATATGTATGTCTTAAGGTTACCTATACATGTCCCAAGATAGTAAAGACTCTTTGACTTCTCCCAGTTCCACGTGGTCCATCAAGAGGCACTGAGGTGAGCATGCTACCATACAATGTGTCTGACTCCTTTATTTTA